CGCCTCATTTTACCGAGCCCTGAGTGCAGGCTGCCAGTAAAATGGATTGCTCTCATTATGAGTGTGTTATGAACAAGCAGCCTGTGATTGAAAAGCTTTATTTCATGCTCGGCAGACTTGTAAATGAGGGGTTGTGTGAAGTGAAGAGAGGAGATTGTTGTGTGTGTGACTGTGTGTTCTGCTGCGTGAGTGTGTGTAGCAGGAGGCAATGATAGGATTTCATGAATCACAGTGTGTATAGAGTAATTCTTTATTTCCAAGGGATATTGTATGGGATTACTGCTGCATGTAAACATGACTAAAATAAGGATAGGGAGTGTGGGTTTATGCCTGTGATTCACAAATAACGGGCCATCATGTAGTAAAAAAGAAAAAAACTTCCTCTTCAGCTGTTAATGTTCAGCTGCTCTCTTTTTTGTGATCATATATAGGCAATAGACAATTGGGCATGCAAATAGGCAGGGTTTGATTGGGAAAATTGAGATTAGACCTGTCGAACAAGACACACCTTTACATGATCCCTGTGACCTTTTAATAAGCATACTTATTAATCCACCAAATGACAAAGATGAGAGGGACTTACTGTAAATGCCTTAGACAAAATCTTAGCCTGATGTTTTTAATTTTTGGCCACCATTGATCTACGTAACTCACTGCTACTGCTACAGCCTCACTCTCCTACTGCTAAGGATGTCTCACAGTCACTTCCCTGTCACACACCTGCTCCTCCGGCTCTCTACATTGCAGTGCCTCACACCTATCCTCCCTTCACCTGTTGCTGCCTGACAGTGGTTTTTATTTTTTAGGCCGCAAAGTGCGTCGGCCCACAGAGAAAATGTCTGGCTGGTATGTCTTATCTCCGGTTCAGCCCTTTATCATTTGGGATATTGTTAAGATTCCCTAAACCATTCTGTGATTCTTATGTAGTATTTGTTAACATGCAGAGATTTGTATTATCCTGCTACATGTTTATCCTTAGATACAAAGGAGGTAGAATTGATGAATAATCCTTTTCCAACCATAGACTGAAGAAAACATGGACATTGTCTCAGTGACATCACCGAAGGGGAGATTTGAAGCCCAACTATACTGAAAATGCTTAAATCAACCTTTGATTAACCAAGTAACAAGCAAAGAAGCAGGACTGAGGCTATCTTTTAGTTTCCTGGCAAACAGCTATTACATGCCAGCTTGCAATTATATCAGTCGAGCCCCTAATTATGAAAAACTCATATCCTTTATTAAATCAAACGGGTGAGTTAGATAGATTGGCTGTAAACAGTTTTCTTCTTTCTGTTAAAATGGGCTTTTTAACATCCAGCCATCCAGGTTTTTTTTTCACTTTTAACACCAGAGGTTGACGCTTGGTTCTAACTGCATAATTTTTTTTTTTTAACTTTTTGGCCAATATTTTTTTCTATTCCTTACACAGGTTTAATCCCATCCATATCCATATGCTCATCCAAATTTCAATCTATGAAATCCAGTTGTGCTTCTTGCACGGGAGCCACATCTGTTTTTAGCTTGCTGTGTAGCCTTCCACATAAACCCAAAAGTGCACGCATGTCCAGCTTTCTGCCAGACTTGGTTAAATGTGGTATTTAAAAAGGTGACCAACTGCAGTTTTAGCAGAGCTGCAGCACAGAGGTCAGAGCTGGCTGTGAGCCAGTGCCAGTGTTTTACATAAAGCACCACAGTGAGGAATGAGTCTGGGCACACTTCACAGGAAACACACAAAAACATGTGCTCACACTCAAAGTGCCAGAAAAGTGTTTTTTTGCTTTCTGCTCAGGCCCCTGAATCTCTGATGCGATGCACACATACACACACTGATTCAATCTTTTGAAGACACAGAATGAGAGTCTACATCTTTGTTTTCTGTTTTTAAACTACTGCCAGTGTTTCTTTGTGTGAGATAAAGATAGTGGAGAGGTGGATGAGAAGCAGGTGCAGCAGGTTACAGTATAAAGATACAGTCAGCATAGAGGGAAATCTTCAAACTATGAGTGTAGATTGCAAAGGACTCAGCTATTTCTTCTCTCGATCCTCTTACCAGCTGTGGAAAGATAATGAAACCATTATTGCTACCTCAGTCCCATCTCACCTCAGCTGGTTGTGACATTTTCCGTGAGTCAGGTTTGGTCCAGTGCGGCCACTTCCCACAGGGAGCTAATGGGCTGTCATCCAGGCCTGACTGCTGCTCCTAACTCCCTCAGACCGTGGATGGAATCGATATTACAGGAGCCATTAGGACCTGTAGGAGTTATTTAGTTCTCTCTTTCTGTAGTCTCCTCCTCTGTCTGTATCATTATATCCATCTCACTGTACTCTGCAGTTTCATCGGAATCAGTATCAGCCTCTGCTTCTCTGTTCTGTCATTCCCATCAGGCACTTTGTCTTCGTGCCTGTCTATTTTGGTCTGCGTTTGCCTTTGATCCATGTATCTTTTTTCTATCTGTCCATCCAATCATGTAGCTTTCTACATTTCTCTCTTTGTTTTCCCTTTGAAATTCAATGACCTGAAAGGAGCATTTTTTTTTTCTCCATGCTTGAATCAAGCTGTTGGCTTGTCATATTCCAGTTATTAAGGCAATTACTTTACTTTGAGACACATGAACATGAAAAACTGTATGACTACATGAGGAATAAGATGAAAGGAAAGTGCTTTTTTTATTTCCTGCCATAGAAATGTAGCTACTTCAATAACCTGTCCTGTGATTTTCTTAATAATTGGCTTGTTAGCCAATAATCTTATCCTAGAATCATCAACCGGCTAACTAACTGCTTTTCAAACAGAGTCCTCAGTAATAATCCAAACATATTTAATAATGCATGAAGAGAGTCACACCTGTTGAGAGTACCAGACGCCATGCTGTGATTGACCTCTGGGCAGCTGTTTGATGTCCACGCTCACGTTGATTATCACAGTCTTCACAGATTCAGCGCTACGATCAACATTCAATCGTTTCTTGAAATGGAAGGAGAAATCTGAACGGCTGCAGATCATTTCCCTCTTTTGAATAGACGTTTGTGAATGACGCTTTGGCAGGGAAGTCTCAAAAACCCTCCACAGAAATGCCAATGCACACAAACACATGACCATCAGTTTGAAGGTGCACGTTCAGCAGATGTGTAGATTGTAAGATGAAATCATAATTTCTACATTCTTTCTACTGAACTGAATACAGAATAAAATATCAGGCTTCTTTCCTCTGATTTATTTCATTATGTTACATAATCATAGAGTAAAGGAAAGGTTTATATCAATTCTAGATCAGTGTGTATCAGATAATGGATCTGAGCTTAATAAAATATAAGATATATTAAGGTCACATCTGTAATCTGTTATTATACAGCAGAGGTTATAGCTTCAAATACGTCTTCCTAATATTTAGTGTGTCAATGTGAGAGAGATGACTCACAGCTACAATGAGGGATGTTTGATGACATCACTGAGTGCGTCGGCAGAGGCGCTGCTGCCCCCACCACCACCACCTCCTCTCTCACATGCACTCACACTCAGTGATCAATCAAAGCTGTCAATACCATGGCAAATGTGTAGAGCGTTCCGATATAGATTATTCTGCTTCCCAGTGCAGCCTGCAGTCTTTCATTGTGGCAGTCATTAAGAATTCATCACGCCCCCTTTAGAATATATTAAATGAAAGCCTTTTTTACAGGTATCATCAGATGTGTCAGTACGTGGACACATAATGTGAAGAGGATCATTTGCCTTGGTATTTGACTATGACACATTTTTACGGCTGATTCAGTTGTCTTCATGACTGACTGCTCTGACACACCAAAGAGATAAAAGTCAGTGTGTGTGCGGATGTGTGTGTATGCTGAATAGCTCCATGTTGCTTCTTGGTACCAACCAGTATGAACCATCTGTTGAGGAGTGCGAGGGAAAAGCTTTGACATTTGAAGTCCCTACAATAACAGAACAGGCAGGACCAACATAGTCCTACCAGGGTTAACACTTATTAACTAGTCGTTATTAACAAAATGGATCACCCTGTCATTAAAACAATGATTCAATATTAAACAAAAAGAAAAAAAAAAACACTGAAATTGTATGTTATTGGGGTTTGCTTATGTCATGTACCGTCAATCACCCTTTTAAAGATTTATTTTGGGGATTTTTGTGCCTTTATTGAAGAGATAGGACAGTGGATATAGTAGGAAATCAGAGAGATAGCGAGTGGGGAATTACATGTGTGAAAGGAGACAAAGGTTGATTCGATTGGAACTCAGGCCGCCCACTTGGAGGAGGAGGCGTGCGCACTAACCACTATTTAACCGGCGCCCCTTCTCTTTTGTTCTTTAATTCACTTATTTAATTAACATTTATAGAGCTGAATAGGGTGGTATAATCAAAGCTGTATGTCCACGCCAGAGACTGCATGTAGAGATGGACGTCCTTTCTCTTCATCCCCCTATGTTCTTTTTTTTACATGCTTACCTCTTAAAACTAAGCCTTTGAGAAAAAATGAACACTGGAGCTAGAAACTCAACTTTTATTTAGATTTTATAGATCTGCATGTCCCATCTGTTAACATGGAGCTGGCCGAGCTTACTGTATGACCTCTACTGCAGAAAGTCAGTCAGGGGAGCTCCAAATGGTTTTGGCTTCACTTTTGGGGAGCTGTCATGTTGTCAATGGTTTTTTACAGTCTATGGTCCATGCTTGCAGTATTTTCACGGTACCCTTTATCATGTACGTAATAGACAGTCGTTCATCATGTTTACAGTTTCTCACATAGGCTCCATACAGTGCTACTGTTTGACATGCTAGACTGAGGTAATCTGGATTATATCAAACAGTGTGCTGAGTCGGTCAAACTGAAGCATTCTCAGCAAACTCAGACAAAGCCAGAGAAATACCCGGTATATATCGCTTGCCACTTTAGTGTGAAAGATACAAACAAAGATTGGTGTTCATTTTTGTTAAAGATCCTCCTGCTGTGCTGACATCTCTGTTTGTCTCTGTGTTTCAGGGTTTCATCGCAATGAGGATATGAAGGCCATCGATGTGCTTCCCATCCTCAAGGAGAAAGTCGCCTTCCTCTCAGGTCAGTTATGTACCGTCTTAATATCACTGTTTGGCATGTGTCCCTAAATGAATGTGGCCTGATGTGTTATTGTGTCACTAATGAAAACTTCCATTAAACTATTTTTTTTATTTTCAATAAAAAGAAAGAGACAAAAACAAAATATGTAGAGTACATTAGCTGTGATGTTGAGCAGCCTTTTCAAATGGGAAGTGTTCAAGAGGAGAAAATGCTGTGACAACACAAGGTCTCATCTTTCAAGTGAACAAAATATTTTTCAGAAGCTGTTTTTATACAAAAAAACACTCAGGAATTTAGTCAATTCTTTTAACAAGCAGATATCAGCCTTGATCCCAAACAAGGATGTTGAAATTTCACTCTACTTCCCGTGTTTGACTGAGCTTTTTTATTCTGATATTGCTGCAGAGTCCTTGCGTTGGAGTGTGTTTTGCATCAACTACATATTGTTCTGTTTGCACGCTGATGCAAGATGCAACCTTAGAAGAAGAGACAAACCCACTTTATTTAACGCCATTTAAAAACATGGCAGCTTGGGTATAATTATTATTATTTTCCATTTAAGCTTCATTTGCAGTGATATATTAGGTTGGTTAATGTGACACACTTATCTCCATAAACTGTTCTCCCGCTTTAACTATTAACCAAAAGGGCAATGTCATAATTATAATCAAGTTAGAGAGTGTTTTTCTCTTTTCATTAATAATTAGTGTTTTTGGTTGCAGCATCCTCACTGAAAGGCTTTTATTAGCCTCGTCATTGTGAGACAAGTTTGCGCTCTGATGCTTCAGTATGACTCAGTATAGTCCTGACTATCTGCAGACACATTCACAGATGGTACCAACACATATCAGCTGCAGATATCAGAGAACTACTGTATGTACTTGACATCTTTGAGGGTTCATTGTATTCTGCAGGTTATGTGGTCTTTAACGTTAAGCTGTGTTCAGTGAAGCCGTGCTGCAGTATTTGAGCTTGATCATCATGGGAAGTAAGTTTCATTAAATGACTCTTTTGTTGTCTGGTTTCTACCCAAAGGTGGCAGAGACAGACGCGGAGGTCCCGTTCTCACCTTTCCAGCACGGAGCAACCACGACAGAATACGACCCGAAGACCTGCGCCGGCTCATAGCTTACCTGGCCACTATTCCCAGGTTGGAAATCTTCTTACATACTCAGGGTTTCATGAAAGAATCCTTACTTTTTTTTATCAGACTTTGAACTTGCACATGGGCTGACTTAAGGAACCTATTCTTGATCCTAGGTTAATTTGAAACAGACTCCCAACTCTTTGCCGCTCATGCAGTCACACTCACACACTTCTCATCACTTTCTCTGTGTCAGACTTTCCCACCTTGCTTGGATTTAAAAGGCTGAAGCATAACCTGAGGCTACAGAGAGCTGGGATGGTTTTATTTTGAATTCTCTGTGAAGGTTCAACCCCCCCGTTTCTCTTTCTACCTTCTCATTTCCTCCTAACTTTCATGAAACGCATCACCTCTTTTTTGGGGGGTTTCTTTTAGCTCTCACTTCTCTCCCTATGTTATTGATAATGTCTTGACATTCCCCCGTTTTTCCCTGTTTCCACCTTTGCATCGTTATTGTATATACTGCAGGAAACATGTTGCCACAGGATGCAGTTTTGTATTCTCTGTAGCTCTTTCTATATAGTTGTTAAGTCTAGAAGCACCTTTCCTTCACATTTAACACTCCTCTCCGGGCGGTTCTGTATGTAGTCCGTTGTGATTAGTCAGAGGGAAGCATGCCCTTCTCTGTTCTGCTACTTCTGATCTCTCCTGTGCTCCATTTTTTCTATTGCTTTGCAGGCTTGGTGCTTTTAAGGTTTTTTTCCCCCCGCTGTAGAGTTTAGAGATTTGTCTTCAGGCAAGGGGCGGTCCAGATCAATTACTGCAGAAATTGGGTCCAGGTTTCTCCAGTGCTCCCTGAGGGTGTTCTTGTATGTCCAGGGCAAACTTACAAAATGCTCAACATCTGTGTATATTTCAGTCAGCAGTTGTCACTCTGATCTTCATAGTTTGCGAGTCCTTTTTTTTATGTCTGTGAACAAGCTTCTAATGAGAGGATGACCCCTGGAACAAAGTATTTTCTACATCTTTTCAAGATTTGGGAAACTAAAACAAATAGTGGTCAGACTCTAGTCCAATTATGAAGCAGAAGAGTGGTAAGAACTGTGATGTTGCTGTCGTTCTTGGGCTTTCATCTTCCAGTTTTAAGTTAAACTTTTATTAGTGTTCAGTTTGAGATGCAGAAGAAGATGATTAAATATATTCATGTTAAAAATACATACTCCTTATTTTGTTGGATGTGTTTATTTCTCAAAAAGTAATGCAAGTCCATGAAAACATCCTAAGTATAAGATTTAGTTATTATTCATTCAACCTAATTAAAACATGCCAAAGGGAAGAGATGTTGCCATAGGGATGACCGCCTTTAATGCTTTTCTTTGAATCTTGTCTAAGGTGTAAGCAGTAAAAGACAGGTTGTCTGCGCTGCATCAGGAGAAACTGTGTTGATAGGTTAAAAAGAGAGGAAATAGATCCTGTAGAGGAAACCAGATATCTGATCTTAGGCTGAAAAGGAACCATGTGTCACTAATTCAGTAGGAGGTCAGGTTCTTCTCCTCAGCCTGATTTCTATCTTACTTGTCTAAATATTTCTTCTGTCTTTGTTACATATCCCTCCCTCTCTTTCTTTCTTTCTCTCTTCTCTCTCTCTCTCTCTCTCTCTCTCTCTCTCTCTCTCTTCCTCTCCCTCCCTCCGCTCTGCTCTGTTTTTCTCTTCCCATTTGGCTGCCGATCTGTTTTCAGAGTGAGGTCAGAGTGAGTTAGTGCAGCAGGGCCTGTGTGTCTGTTTCTGTCTCCTAGTTAGACACATTCAGATTAAAGCCTTTAACGCTGTGAAACAACCTTTTATGGACTCGTACAGCAGCATGACTCCTGGTAAGCAGCGGTGGAAATTTCAACACTTCAATGTTTTAACAATTTTTTCCCTCGTCAGATGCTCTGGAGGTTTGCATGGTATCTTTGACTTTAAATCTTTTGGGCATCTGTTTCAGTTAAGACAGATCCTTTACAAAATGTACAATAAGTTTCTTTGATGTGTGCTTTGTCTATTTCTGTTGCTAAAGCAGCAACAATAATGTATTTAATATTTCCCTTTGTTGTCATTTGTTTATGATCTCCTCTGAGTTTCTGTAATGGTTCAATGTTAGCATGATGGAATCATTTAAAGCTTCTTTATATCCTGGTGTATAAATCTTCACTTTCTTGAAGGGTTGACCTCTTTTATTTGTGTCTTGTGCAGTGAGGAAGTCGCCCGACATGGCTTCACAGTCATCGTGGACATGCGTGGCTCTAAGTGGGACAGCATCAAGCCCTTGCTGAAGATCCTTCAGGAGTCTTTTCCTTCTTGTATCCACGTCGCCCTCATCATCAAGCCGGACAACTTCTGGCAGAAGCAAAGGACCAACTTTGGCAGCTCAAAGTTTGAATTTGAGGTAAGTGCCATGCTACATATGTGGATCACTTTTCAAAACAGAAAAGTAAACCTTTTAACACTAAAGCTTGGCTTTTGATGCTGTGGATGTTGCACAAAAACTGAAAAAGCTCTGTTGCACAAATGGTTTCAGATTGCTTCATGGAGATACTGGTATTTGCTGGTGACATCAGTATAATTTAGGATTTGTTATAAGCTATTGGAGTTCTTCATAGTTGAGCATAGCTATCGGTGCTAATCTATCAGATCTAATTTGACTGCTGCTCTGTGACAGTGGCTCTGTTCTGTCCCGTGTGGGCATGTGGTGCTGGTATATTTAGTACTGACCCAGTTACTATGGAAACTGGGATATATGGGACATGGCAAAGCATCTCATCTCGACAGCAGTGAGTTGTGTTTGGACAAGCCAATTTTTTTGTTTTTGCATGATGTCAAACATGCGAATGTGATGAGGAAAAACATCAAACATGAGGTCAATGGTTTGAGTCTGTAGCTGCAAATAAAATCAGGATGAGCTGAAGTTTTAAAGATGTTTCCTCCTCTTCCCTCGTAAAGAGCTGTCGAGTTTTCACAACTGTTGCTCATTATCCAGTAAAAAAAGACGATGTTTTCATAGCATGGGGGTCACACCTTCGATTAAAACGACTTCTCTAAGTGTTTGAGTTTGCTTTCCAGTTTAAAAGATGCTAAATAAAATCTTTGTTATTGTAGCGTCTTCATGTGAGAGCACAAAAGCAGACTTCAGCGCCAAATCGAACTGTTTATTTTGTGTTTTATTGTGTTTACCTTGTTCAAGTGGACCTCATCGGTTTCTGTTTTTGCTTCCTTATATCCGTCTATTTGCATCTTATGAATGATAATATGACGGCTGCTGAGAATTTCTGGAATGTTTTTCTTTTTTTTTTCGGTCACTCCACCTATCCAAACAGTAGACGTGTGGAGCCACTGACACGGCACATTCTTTTCATAATCTGGGTGTAACAGTGGGGAATATTTTGTAAGTTTGTAAGTTAACATTTGATTACTTTGAGATATTGATGATAGAGAGGATAACTATAAGGCAATACCCTCTTAAACTGCTTTTTATGTTTTATTTGCCTGCTTTATTTCCTTGTTTTACCTCATCCTTCTCTTTTCTGATTTTAATCATGCCAATCTTTCCTTCCTACTCTAGACGGTGATGGTCTCCTTAGAGGGTTTATCCAAGATCGTGGACCCATCCCAACTCACAGCTGACTTTGAGGGCAGCTTAGAGTATAACCATGATGACTGGATTGAGGTTTGGATACTTTCTCTTTTGTTCTATCTTTTTTTTTCTCTTTATGAAGTAAAACAACAAGAAACAAGTTTTTTATCTATGGCTGTGCTTCTTTCTAAAGGAATATATTAACAGGTCTTATCTCCTAAAAATATTCTATTAACTGAAATTCAGTAGTGTTTGTATTTTGGCAATTCTAAGTCATTTTAACTGTCCCTATAGGTGCGCCTCTCTTTTGAGACCTTTGCCAGCGATGCAGCGCGGGCACTGTCACGCCTCGAGGAGCTCCAGGACACCCTGTCCCAGCGTGATCTCCCGCGGGACCTGGAGGGAGCTCGGAGGCTCATGGAGGAACACGCGGGGCTGAAGAAAAGGGCCACCAAGGCATCGGTGGAAGAGCTGGATGTGCAGGGGCGCAGGCTGCTCCAAAGGCTACAGGCACATACAGCAGGTGGCGGGAGTAGCAGCGAAAGCGGGTATGGCAATCGCACTGGTGGAGCCAGCGGAGATTCCAACGACCATCACCACGGCTTCCACACGCACGCAGACGCCCACAACCTGGTCGCTAAAGTGACGGGTTTGTTGGACAAGCTGCACGGGACTCGTCAAAATCTGCAGCAGCTGTGGCACATGAGGAAGCTGAAGCTGGACCAGTGCTTCCAGCTGCGTCTGTTCGAACAGGACGCAGAGAAGGTCAGACTGCTCGTCTTTTCTACATAATTCAATCATCCATGCTGTTCACACAATGATTGAGGTTAATTGGTTCCTCCCTGAAGCCCTGATAATCTTGCCCTCTTGGTGCTTTTATTTTTTATATGTACCAGTAAACGGTTGTCCTGCAGGTAATTTATCCTGTGCAGGAACTTATCCCATGGATGAATGTGCATGCATGCCGCTCTCTGCTTGGTATTTATAGTAGATCATTACATTAATCCACACATTTAAATCCTCAGATCAACTTTCAAGGATCATCCTTATGAAGGCCAGATTACTGGAAAAGTGTTTTCTGCTTTAAAGACGAGGTGCATTGACTGTCTGAAAACAGTGGGCCACTGTTCGAAGAACCTAAAAAAAATAATTCTGATGTTTTTAACTCCAGATTCATATATATATATATAAGATGTGTTTATTCTTGTCTGTGCTCAAGTCCTCCTGTTTTTTTCTTGGTCAAATATCTGAGCTGTGCCTTCATGTACAAGAAAAAAAGACAGCGATAATGAATGTTGTCACTGTTTCAGGAGAGTGTGTGGTTGCGTGTCTAGAGCTTGGAAAAGTACTGATATGAGCCGTTAAGAGCTAGAGGCAAACGCAGAATCCTGCAGTGGAAAGTGTCAGAGCTGGGATTCAACACTTCTTTTCTATACATGTAGAAAGAGGATCAAAGAATTAAAACAGAACCACTTAGCAGCCTCTTTTCACTGCTGCTGATCTGAGTGAACAGAAGATGGAAAGGCTCTTTTCATTTGTAGAGCATCCTGTAAAGGTAACTGCATTTTCTCCCTCTCTCCCGGGTGTAGATGTTCGACTGGATCATGCACAACAAGGGTCTTTTTCTAACCAGTTACACAGAGATCGGAGGGAACCACCAGCACGCTGTCGAGCTGCAGACCCAGCACAACCACTTTGCTATGAACTGCATGGTAAGATGTTGCCTTTGTCTCTTTCATGCACGCGCATGAACACCCTCACACACAGGCAATGCAGTCACAAACTATCACCATTACTGTCATTCACAGTAACATGCCAAGGCCCCCCCATCCCTGTTCAACCGCCACACAAACACAAACACAAACACAAACACACCCCTACTCCTCAAAGCCCTGATCCTGCACCCTCTTCTCCTTTTGGCCGTGGACTGATATTTTCTGTCCTCCCACTTCCTCTCTCATTTTATTCAGCTGTTTTCCACTCTGCATCACCCCCCCCCCCCCCCCCCCCAGCCCCCAGTGTCATGTCTTGTCACAGTGCTGTTCCCATAATTGACCCATATTGCCTCACTGCCCCTCCCAAAGCTGTGTGCTGCCCTCTGCTGCCATGCTCCACCGCCCCCCCCTGCCCTCCTGTACCTCACTGTAGTGTGTGGAGCTCTGCTGCTGACTTAAAATAGCTGTGGACATTATTCTGTATCGACTCTGCGGCGTTACCAGCTCTGCTCTGCCAGTTCATTTAACCCCTCGTGGACTTTATACCAACTAAAAAACGCACATCTTGATCCCTGACACCTCATTGCTGCTCGGGTTTGTCCTCCACTGAAGTACCCTAATTCCCTTATATTTTCACTTTATTTTCAATTATAATTCATCACATTATATAAAATCCCTGCATTGCAAATAAAAAAAACATATACAGCACATCAAGTTTGAAGTATTTAATATCTGTCAGGGATGTTCTTGTTTGCTTTGTGGCGTCAAAAGAAAAGAAAAGAACTGAAAAAGAACTGAACACATCCAGTGCACCTCTGATAGGGACAAAAACATCCCAATCCTTACACCAGTGAAAGTGATAAACAACAGATATTTGACTTTTTTTCATCTTACAGCAACTGTTGTCATTGTGAGAGAACTGTAGCCTAGGGAGAGCAGGAGCCCCGCTATGAATCTCTATAGCACACAGTGCCACAAATCACTGCTGGTCCCATCATGGGGGCCCAAGGGCCACTTCAGGAGAGAACCAGGGCCAGTTGTGTCAACACTGCGGGTAGAGATGAACCAATAACCCCAGAGACAACAGAGGTGGAAAAGACAGATGGAGCTGCACTCACACGTATATTGACAATATATTGCACTCATGAACACAGTTGGGTAAACACAGAATGAGAATTTGCCCCCCCTCCACCCATTCTTCTACAGGAAGCAGCGTTTCCTCTTCCTGTTGCCTGCATTGCTGAGTGGAAACTCACAGCATCAGGGTGTGTGTGTGTATGTGTGTTCATGTAGACAAACTGCCATGTTTTAAAATGTATAAGAGAGTGAAAACAAAAGGAACAAAAACATGATCACACCCAGACAGGTCTGCCAGTTTACACTGATGTATCAACACTGGTATTACTGGTTTAAAGGATTTGCTAAACTATCAGCATTTCTCTCATATTATTTAAATAGGGATGATTGCTACAGGTGTGGAATAATCAACTTAAAGTCAAAGGGTAAATACAGTAGCATGCTATTGATGAAATTAGGCAATACATTCTCTGTAATACTCGAAAAAAACAGATGGTGTTTAGTAACTCTCATGCCCCCTGTGGGAGGCACTTGACAAATGCACTTTTGGAGTGATGAACTTTTCTGTTATTTATTTAAAGAGTCACTTTATCTGAGAGGTTTGGTGTGAAACGTTTGGTTTATTGTGCCTTTGGTAGAAATGAAGTATCTGATTAATTCCTTTGTAATAAAATACATCAAACTGCAGCTTCCTACACATTTCTCCTGAGGCTACTGCTTACTTAATGATAACATCAAGTTATGTGTTCAACTTTCCAAACTCCTTTTAACAGCTCTGATAGAGCAAGCAGCCGTTTTTAATGAGTGTTGTATTTTATTAGAGGAGAAAATAACAGAAATTCAACAGTAGTTTTGAATGGCTTGGTGCACACTTTTAATGTTTAACAATATGTGTTTTACTTCCGTAAACCGTCCTTAATGGAGTTGTACGTGTGTGTTTACTGTAAATTGATTAAAAGCAGGATTCGATGGCAGAAATGAAATGTTACATATCACACCTGAGCTATGAATATGCTCAAACAGCCCCTGAAAACGACCCCAGCAATCTACTTGAAACTATAACACAGCAATTTATAAATGAACTGAACAGATACATTTTTACATTTACTTTTATTCCTGATCATTTCTCCTCTGTGGTATGAGGTTTATAGTTACTTGTTCATTTCCAGCAGTAAGTTGTTTTTTGAGATTAATCCATTTTTACCCTTAACATCTTTCAGTAGAACTGTAAACGCACGAGGCAGCACATACTGAGTGATTTTGAAACGGCCTTGGTTTCCCCTCAGCCTCTCTGCAAGACATCATGTTACGTTCTGCTGTTGGGCCTGTTGTGTTTATCTTGTTCTGTAGTTCATTCACAAAGCAAATACTACTGCGGCCTGTTTGTTTCCCTACTCTGTGGATTGATTGATTTCTGGGTCAACAGAGCTGTCCTCCTCTGCCTCTACTCTCTCTCTTTCTCTCTTTATTTCTCTCTCTCTCTCTCTCTTCCTCTATCTCTTTCTCTCTATTCCTCCTGCCCCTTGCCCCCATCAGGTTTAAATTAGGAATATCCTCTACTATCTGTACCCCCACCCCCCTTTTCTGTCCGTCAGTTTTGGATTAAGACTTTACCACCCAGTGTGTTTCAGTGCTCCAGCCTGCTTTATTTAATGTCCTGCAGATGGCTTGAACACCCTCAGGCTGATTGGTTGTGACTGGGCGTGTGCTCTCCTTGAGGTCTTTTTGTGCATATGTCCTTAGCAAAAAAATAAAAAAAATCATCCCAGTTTCCTGTGGTTTAATACCACATAAGATCTGTTACAGCTTAGAGATATGTTATTTTTCATTTGAGGCTCTGAACTATTTATAATGGGATTACTATAGCTCAAGTGTGCACTGCTGTTCTTTTGTGTATCACAACTTACCTACTGCTGTTTACTCGAGAGCTGTTGGACTCCCATAGATCCTAGTGTGAGCCGTAATCCAGAGAACGCCACTGTCTATTATCCTCAGGTCAACATCAGACTAAATCATGTGCTTTTCAATTCCAAGTATGAGATTTCTTGGATTTTTAGACTACGGGGGAAAGTATCTGATTATTTTGTATACCAATATGATTCCAAGTAAAGGCAAAGCTATGGGAACACCACATTTTAGCTCTAATTCAGAACATAATGAGAAAACATCATTAGTCCTTTGAGGTTAAAAGGAAACAAAGCATCAATCCAATGTCCTTAACCTTGATAAAAAAAAAAAACTCACAATATGTGTTCCGAGAATCACCCCTGCCTCTGTTGGAGGGTTGTAGCTGGTGTTCACTTCATCCTTTGTCTCTGTTGTGATTGAATGAAGCAGCACACTAAGAGCCATAATAGGCTCCAACAGCAGTAATTGAATAGAATAATAACAGACTGTTAACACAGTTGTTAATTAGCGTTTGCTGATCTGTGCCTATCTACACAAAACAGCTTGGAGGCCATATATTTAAAAAAATTAAAAAAAATTAAAAAAAACCTTGAAAGCTTAATAGGCAAATGGGTTTCTGTTCATTATTCACGAGGTACTGCTCCCAAGTGAATTCATCTCTTATTTTACTTTGTCCAGGAAGGGGAGGGGTTACATGACGAGGGGTGCATGTGTAGAATTTTATATTTCATTATTTTATTTTATGTTAATGTGGAATGTGGCTACTATTCTTTTTTTTAAAAAACCTTTATTGCTTTGCAACTCTGGATGAATTTGCAGCTTGATGCATCACTGCACCCGAAATAAAACCACATGAGCACACTCTTCATTTTCCTCTGCAGACTGACAATATATTCACATTAAAGAGTCACAGCACTGTTCGTGAGTCAGGAAGGCCTCAGGTTAGCGTCCTATAGATAAAATCCACTGGACTTAGCGTACAGAAATATCCACTTTGTCTGTCTCTAGCTGCAGTCTATCTGTCTTTATGAAACATGTTCCATGAAATCACACCCGTTTCATTATATGTATTTATACTATAACATCTTGCTTCTTTCTCCCTCCTCACAGAATGTGTACGTGAACATCAATCGGATCATGTCGGTAGGAAACCGGCTCCTGGAGTCGGGTCACTACGCCTCGCAGCAGATCCAGCAGATCTCAGGTCAGCTGGAGCAGGAGTGGAAAGCCTTTGCTGCTGCGCTGGACGAACGCAGCACCCTGCTGGAGATGTCTGCCAGCTTCCACCAGAAAGCAGATCAGGTACTGACGTATAAATGTGCAAATGAAGTATTCAATATTTGTTGTATTTTTATAGAAATTTTGCCTTAAAGAGAAATATAAATAAGACAACCAAATATTTCTGTTCCACAAGAGTTTACAAGCGCTATGGGTGCTTTATATCTAATAGACCTGCGACACCATTTAAATGATCAATTCTGCTTTCCATTGTTTTGCTTACTGTGTATTTAAAAGAAGTTTGTTTTCGACCCCCGTTTGCTGAGTGGCTTTTTTTATACCCCACAGTCATAAATTCTAAAGAAGTCTTTGTTACTTCCTGCTGCTTTTCTGTAGGCTGTATTGACAGCACATCATTACTGTCAATGTTTTGATGATTCTGTGGCAGATGTCTCTTCTTTGTACCCTTTTGCTTCACTGAGTTAGAATAATAGAAAGCAATTTCTTTTTAAAACTATTTTCTCCTTTTTGAAACAGAAAGATAACTATTCAATATTTATTTTATGACAGCTTTCTAATAAGCTTCTGCTCTGCGATGTCTTTTCTCTCTGAACTTTACCTCATTTTCACTCAAACTTCTCTTTTTCACTGTCAGCCACCTTGTATCCAACAATAACAGTTTGCGTCCACTGCGGCGTCATTGTGTTTTCTTTGTTATTAATGGCGTATGGTCAGAGGTTCAAACTGGAGTCTCCGTACATATTAAGAGCAATGACCTGTGATAAAAAAAAACAAGTTCAGTGCTGCTAAGAAAATCCATGTTGGATGTGAACGTACAACATAAATCCAGTAAATTCTCACAATCATATATCATTATCTGGATTTATAGAACCAACCTGATGAGAAGAAAGAAATAGACTTGATATAAATTTAAACTCTGGTGTTTACTTGTAGGTATTTAATGTATTATATTATTAATATTACCAGGGTTTATAATGCTTAGTACTTTTTCTTTAAGTACGAGTCTTTGGTCTGAGTAGTCATTCACTAATCCCTGCATGTTGTGCATTCAGACAGAACAACGTGTTAATAATAGGTTTTTAAATTTTCTCCATATTTGTACACAGTCTATATGGAGGGATGTGTTATGCAATGTTTGTGTCGTGTGTGTTCTCTCTGCAGTACATGAGTAAAGTGGAGCCGTGGTGTAAGGCATGTGGTGAAGGAGAGCTGCCCTCTGAACTCCAGGATCTAGAAGACACAATCCACCATCACCAGGGATTATATGAGCACATCACCACCGCATACTCTGAGGTCAGTATACACACACACACACACACACACACACACACACACACACACACACACACACACACACACACACACACACACACACACACACACACACACTCCTCTGTACTGATGTGGGGCTTTTAATCATTTTCAAACAACAATCTCAGCAAAGACAGTCAAATTGGATGGGATTTAGAAAATATGGCTATTGATGAAGGCTACAAATTTTAGGCTAAAATGTTTCTAGCACATCTCCCTGATCAACCTGATCACGAGACTGTCATGACAATCAATGGCGTGCTTGTGATTCACTTGTACTGTGCTCCAGCTGATCGTTAACCCTCCTCCTGCCGCCACTACGCAATCTGGGCTTTCTACTGTCTTTCACAGACATAAATTGAGGTTCAGCTTCATGTTTCTTTTCATTCTTTGAAGATCATTGGCAAAGTATTCGCCGATTCTCCGGTCCCACAGATTCTCTGTGTAGCCTGGGGGATCAGTAAATGTGACATGTGGCGTTTGAGTAAAAATGAAGAAGGTGCTTTTCTGTTCAGACAACCAGTTAAACAAGGAATACAGAATTAAAACCTCTTGTAATTTTCATGATAACCTTACTTCATGTTTTTGTAATACTCTTATTTTCTCTTTTACAGGTGAGCCAGGATGGGAAGTCTCTTTTGGACAAACTGCAGCGACCTTTGACCCCAGGGAGTGCAGATTCACTGATGTCCTCTGCCAACTACTCCAAAGCTGTGCACCACGTCCTGGACATCATCCACGAGGTGCTGCATCACCAGAGGCAGCTGGAAAACATCTGGCAGCATCGCAAAGTCCGCCTGCACCAACGACTGCAGCTTTGTGTGTTTCAGCAGGACGTACAGCAAGTAAGAAACACAAACACTCAAACAAAAAAGGCAACCTACAATGAGACCTGAAGTTCAACGATGCTTCACACACATACTCACACAGCGGATACTGGAGAAGACACCTAAGAAAATTATGTTTGAACTTTGCTCTTTGTCAAATGTAGACAACATATATGAAAACGTACAAGATCCAAAAGGAAGGATAGAAATGTCACTTTGCCTTTTACCTGAAAGAAGCAGGTCAAAAGGCAATGCTTGAACTTATGTGAAGACAACAGTACAAGATAAAATTGTTTATTTCAGAGACCTGGTTCAAAGAGACAACTGATGAAAAAAAACATTGTGTACACTGGCAGCTTGTTCCAGAGTTGAGAAGCATAGAAAGTAAAAGCTGCCTTGCCCTGCTTGGTTCTGAATCAGGGAACGACGAGTCAACTAAACTGCTGTGCCCGTTTTTTGGATAAAAGACCAAAATGAATAAAAATGGGAAAACTGTTATTTTGTACAAGCAATAGGCAAAGTGCATAGCTACTGACAAGTGTTCCTGCCAAACTATTTTTTATTATAAAAATCAAAGATATCTTTATTTTTGAGGGATGTTCTGCAAGACTTCAATACTGGATTGTACAGTGTGTAATATTAAGATACAATATAATCAACACCAGCTTCTTCAAAGCGTTTTTACACTTCCTCCTGGGCTTTCGGAGTGTGACTGTCTGGATGGCAGAGCCCTTAGATCAAAACTACTGAGTTGGTGTAAAGTGTCGTCTCTGCGTTTTTACCCTCTGGGCATGAGCTCTTCTCTGCCTTGCTGTCCTCATCCCTCCTTTTCTCTCTCTCTCTCTCTCTCTCTCTCTCTCTCTCTCTCTCTCTCTCTCTCTCTCTCTCTCTCTCCCTCCCTTGCTGTGTCTCTGCACTTTGCCTTTCCTCTCCCACATCCACTTCTCATTACCCTTTTCTCCTGATAGTGGTTTCCATGGTGATGCAATTTAATGTCACATAAAGTGTTGAGGGCATCGTGTATGTTTTCATGTGTTTGCCCCGTCAAAATAGTCTCTCGGAGACCTTGAAAACATCATGCAAATCCTTTTCATTACCCCACATAGAAACAGTAAGGCCATCTGTTTTAAAGATAATAAGGACATTTTGTGCAAAGATTTATAGCTAATCACAGTCGCTGTGGAAATGTTGACACTTAGCACTGCTCTGGATTTGCAATTAGGCAAAACCTGATCGTCAACATTCATGTTATTTAAACATGACGGACTGCAGAGGGAGGAAAAGAGTAAAGGATGAGGGGATGAGCTGAGGGGGAGAATGAGAAGACTGAAGGGCAAAGGGGAAAAAATGGCATTAATAAACTACTGTGACTCTAATGTGATCTCGGTACAAACCGTTCCAGTCAATAGCACCCCCTACTGCTTGAAGATATGTACTGCAGTCTTAATTCCAGTGAGGTTCATTTTCAGTCTATGGTGAGGTTGAGCATTTTTAACTTCAAGCACTGAATGTTTTTTTATTTTCTGTGTGTGTTTCAAGGTCCTGGACTGGATAGAAAACCATGGAGAGGCTTTTCTCAGTAAACACACTGGTGTAGGGAAGTCTTTGCACAGAGCCCGGGCTCTGCAGAAGAGACATGAAGACTTTGAAGAGGTTGCACAGGTGAGTTCAAAATAATACATTCCAAATAACTGTCAACGTACTAAAGTAGATGCACATTTTCGCACATTTTTTTTAACATGTAAGAAACCACAAAGCAGGCAGGAAACATCAGTATCAGACATTTGAAGGGGAAAAAAATGCAGCTTCCCTTTTTTTTTCAAGTCAGAGTTTTTTTTTATATAAAGCACATTTAAAAAATGTGGACGAAAGTGCTGTACAGATTAAAAACACATTTCATTGTTAATATAACATCAAATAAAATTTATATTAAAGTGATAAAAATCATCTTGTTCAAAAAACAGAAAAGATTTCACTAAAGGTCTTGGTAAGCGTTAACAGTGGAATGAATGAGATCATATGCTCTTTATGGAAATGTACTTAATGTTAACATTTCAGAACACCTACACCAATGCTGACAAGCTGCTGGAGGCAGCAGAGCAGCTGGCACAGACCGGAGAGTGTGACCCAGAGGAAATATACCAGGCTGCCCACCAACTAGAGGATCGCATCCAGGACTTTGTGCGACGTGTTGAGCAGCGTAAAGTCCTGCTGGACATGTCTGTCGCCTTCCACACACATGTCAAAGAGGTGTGTATTCTCTGTCTATACCAGGGGAGGTCAGATTGGTTCAAATGAGACATCCTATGGCGCAGGACTCTTTTATTTTCATTTTTTCAATCTGACTCCACACATGAACATAAAGGCTGCTCGCTGTTTAATAATTTTAAATCGTCTTCTTTCCTAAACCCTAATGAACCCGAGTTATCACATTGATTTGACTCGTCTGTGTAAAGTTTAATCTTGGGTTAGTAATTCTGTAAGCAGACAGGAGTTGAAAAGGTAGAGGGTGACATGGAAATCAATCACTCTTATTGTATGCAGGAAAACAGAAAAAATAATGAGGATGATGATGATGATGGACAAGAAGCTTGTCATGTCTTTGTCCATCATCATCAACAATTGACTCATAGTTTTCACTCAACTTTATTTTTATATTTGTATTTTGCACAAGTTACTAACTGTGTCCAGCTCTTATTGCCACACACATACTGTATCACTCTTTGAGATATAAAAATACGTTAGGCGAAAGATGACAGGTTTCAGGGGTAATGACAACATATAAGTGTTTTGTACATCCTCACCAAAAATGATTAGCACTTTGCTTTTTATAATGACTGCCTTTATTTTAAAGAGAGAGAGAGAGAGAGAGTGTGTGTGTGTGTGTGTGTGTGTGTGTGTGTGTGTGTGTGTGTGTGTGTGTGTGTGTGTGTTTGCATGTGTTATAGTGTGATATGTTCAGGCCCTTGAACGATGTGACTGTCAGTCATTATTTCTCTTTGTGCAAACATCTGTGCTTTCCTTTGCTTCTGCAGTACACTTTTGTTTGCTCAAATTGAAGACAATCCAGCTTGCCTTCTCTCTCTCTCTCTGATTATGCCTATAGTTTTCCTTATTGAAATTATTCCCTAAATAATAATAAAAATAAAACATCCAACTACACATAACTGTGCACAGAGCTTTGGTGTGTAGTGCTAGTCACTACAACCCTCCCACAATTACTGTCACATTGTCATGGGTTATAAACAGCTAAACCTTCGACTATTAAAATGGACCCCTCCACACTGACACATCACTGTGCTCTGGAAAAGTTAACACGACATCCTGTTTACATGGAAGATTCAGAGACTGTCCGAGCTGTGTAGTTATTAATGAAGCTAGTCTTTTATGTCCATATGGACTAATCTCCCTCATCCCATCTGTCAGCTCACACTGGTGCAGGTTACTGTGTGTGTGCATGTGTGCGTGTGCGTGTGCATGTCCCTGTACATGCATGTATTCCTGTGTGTGTGTTTCAAACTCTTTCTTGGATGCAGTTCATCATGTTTAGAGGCCACAAACAGTTTACTGTGGAGACAGGTTATGAAATACATGAGAAAATAGGGAAATCATCTGTTCTGATTTGTGTCTCTCCATCTCCAGAAGAAAAGCATTAATATGTCGATATTATTTTCTAATCATTTTAATAAATAGACTTTATTGAAAAGAGTGAAAGTCAACCTGCTAGGATGCCTAGATGGTCAAGGAACTCAAGATAATACGATGCAATAGGATACAATACATGGTTACACATAACAACAATAATATGATACTGCGATTCTGTCATATAAGATATCTTGCAAGACAATCATATTGTATCATATCATCATATAATAAGACATCACGATATTTGATCAACTTGAAGAGTGAAGGATTGATGTAGTTATTCACTGGAATTTGCTTCAACATCCCTTGTGTTTACATTTCTGCAGATAAAAGCTCAGACTTCTGCAAGTAAAGAGAATCTTGTCCGGCATTATTTAAATATACTGCCTGAAGTTCACTCAGCCATTTACCTTCTAACCAAAAACAGTCTTTATTTATGCATGCCAGGTTGGATTTAACATACTGTCATTTTCTGTGCGTGATGCTCACAATAGCATGATTTTGTGTAGGCAGCGTGGGTGTTAGACAATGCTTGGGTGCCAGGGTCTCTCCTGAAGCCTGGATGCCATGCCAGGGCTTTCTGTGCTGAGCCAAGTCACCCAGATGGCTAATCTGTTACAAAGATGACCATTCACAAAAGAAACAACAGCTTGTAGCAGAATTTGTTAGATTTGTTGTTGTTTTTTCTTCATATCTTCTGACCATCCTTTTGGCAGCTTTTCTATAAATTCTTGCGTCTGTGTTTAGCTCAGTGTATCCGCCCCGCCCCCTCCAGCATGCGTTTACAACAGAGCTCTTTAGTTGCTTCCTGCTTTTTCTTCCTCCAGCTCTGGGAGGAGTCGACTTACAAAATGCTGTTTTTTTTTTTAACTGGCTTGCCTTTCTGTCCGTCACTGTCAGCTGTGGACGTGGTTGGAGGAGCTTCAGAAGGAACTGCTGGATGATGTTTATGCCGAGTCGGTGGAAGCAGTGCAGGACCTGATCAAACGATTCGGCCAGCAGCAGCAGACCACCCTGCAGGCCACCGTCAATGTCATCAAGGAGGGGGAGGACCTCATACAACAGCTCAGGTGACAATTCTTTAAACATGCTAGGCTAATATCTGCATATTTCAATCTATGATAAACAACCGGGTTATCAGCAATTCTGCAGTACATTAACACTGACTACCAAACGTGTTTTTTTAAGTCTAAATACCAGAATGTAGGAATGCAAAGAATGCAAAGGGCACATCAATTTGACATTTTTTCTGTAATCATCAGACAATCATGTGGTTCTGGAGTCAAATGAAAAGAAAAAGAAAGATAGATAAAACATAAAAGGGATTTCTTTTAACAGACAATGTTGTTTTAGGTAAACTGAGCAGACTTTAAAAGTCAAAGATTTTGTGTTTTTCTTAAATGTGCTCTCTCCACAAGAACTGGGAGCCACATCACTAACACTGACCACAAATCCACTCTTCCTCTAACTTCCCTGCATTTGACCTTTTTCTCCCTGCAGAGACTCAGCCATCTCGAGCAACAAGACTCCACACAACAGCAGCATGGCCCACATCGAGAGCGTGCTGCAGCAGCTGGACGAGGCGCAGGGCCAGATGGAGGAGCTGTTCCAGGAGAGGAAGATCAAACTGGAGCTCTTCCTCCAGCTCCGTATCTTTGAGAGGGATGCCATTGATGTGAGTAGGAGGGATACGGAGGTTTTGGTGCTCGATCAAAGTTTATTTTTTTGCTTCTTGCTTGAACGTTATGGAAAAAGAAAGATTGATAAAGATGAAGAGTAGATCATTGGTTTGATGGTTTGAAAGCGCTTCAATAGAAAAAGGAAAGGGAGTGAATGAAGTATTTGTATATAATATGATTACTGAGAAAATAGAAGTGTTAAGAAAGGGGGAAACGTCTTAATGGTTGAAGAGAAAGCAAGACGAAGAGCGGAGGGGAAATTGCAGTTGAATTTGTTAAATTTGGAAAGAAGAAAGAAAGATATTTCTACACTGTACTAATCTGTGTATTTATTCTTTGTGGTTTCTTTTGTATATTGAATGCAAAAAGTGATGAGTTACATGTGGCAATGGACAGACTGAAAATAGAATTTCTGTGACTCTGATCTGATGCACCATTGCTCCGTAACCGTGGAGATTCAGACTTCATTCACAGCAATACTCTCCCATGTGCTTGAATAGAAAAGTATTTAGTTCCACTTGACACATCTCACACACTGACTCACACCAGTCTTGCTTCCCCCCTCTCAGCATTTGGCTACCTTGAATCCACTCAAATCGTCAAAGCCCTACTGTGAAAGATAATGCTTTTCTCAGCTGGTGCTCGGATATGATTGCTGCTCTTTTTAAAGAAAGGTTCAGGTTTCATCGTGATGTTTATCGTCAGTGTGATGGAAGATTAGTTTAGAGATTGCTTTGCAATGTTGACAGATGAATCTGACTGAGTCAATGTGGAAGCAAAAAAACCTACAGCGGAGACTCAGCCTTATATTTATGCGACTATTTCTGTGTCTGCTATGTCATGCTAGCAGCAGCTCAGCTCTAAGGATAACAGTGTCAGTTTGAGCCTGTATGGTCGAGACAGAAAAACCTATACAGATACGCATAGTGCCCTGATGATGTAATTTAACCATAACTAGTGTCATGTTGCTCCATCAAAAGGTTAAAGTTTCAAACATATTCTTTCAAGAAAACTATGAATTAGATTCCTGGCTAACAGAGTTTTGATTCTACTGACTTTGATAATCTGACTTCACCAATATGAGCATCACATTTGGTGGATCTGTTTGAATCATTTCGAAGACTTCTGAATGGGTTGCCTTAAAATATGTTAATGTCACTCTGGTAATCTGTAATCACTCAATCTCATTTTAGGATTGTAGCACACTACACTTGAAATCCATGTCAGAATCAGTTCATTGTTGTTACTCCTGTTGAACTGTGCCTTGCATAATTTTGGGCAAAGCACCTTTTGTTTGCTTTAATTGCAGATAATCATAAATAATTTGTTGTGTTTTTACATTAGTTTTGCTTTTTTTTTTGTTATTGCCAGGTGGACATTCAAAACACAAACTTTGAAAGACTAATGATTATATAATCTATTTAACAGAAGAATCTGTGTAAAATGTCCGTAAACTGCAGATTGCGCATGGCTAGAAGTGTGCTTTTGTTTCATGTCTTCACATAAACGATCCTCAGCTGTGTGCTAATATAAATTCTGTGGTGGGTTTAGAGTCTTTTGTGTCTGCATTGTAGGTCCTAAAGAACAGATAAGTCTCACAGTAGCTCTGCATGTCAAGTCAGCGAATGGTTCTTGAATCTGCTAATCTCTCATGTTGAACACTGAAATCTACACACACACACAAAAACACACACACACATACACACTCACAGAGGATTAATATGACACAGTGTCGGAGCACGAAGATGGGTGGAGGAGGCATTTATTCCCTCCACTCCCTGCCCTAACACACACACACACACACACACACACACACACGTACTGTGACACTCCCTCTCAGCACTTATTGGGTGTGTGTTTCTAAGGTGAGAACATGTGTGACACAGTCAGCTCACAATGTTTCCTTCTATAAGCCCTTTTCCCTGCACGCCTCTGAGAAACAAAAGAGGCGGTCAAACAGGAGACGTTTCTCCTCCGTTAGTTGATTTTCACAGTGTTGCTAGCTGATGGAAATGGTCTTTTTGCACACTGAGGGCATTTTACTCAACTGTAAGAGGAGAGGAGAGCAGCGTGCTAATGAATCTCTGGTAAGTTTCTACTCAGTTGCCAGAGTTAGACAATTTTCTTATCAGTTTAAGAGGGTATTTTGTTCTTCTTTTATGAAACTGCTTGACAAGGTAACTTTGTGTGCTTGCCAAAAAAAAGTTGTATTTCTGGGCTCCGGAGACTTTGTTGCAAAAGTATTGTGTGTGAATCCCAAATCCCTAAGTACCCTGTCATAAAGCAAGAATGCTTTTCTAAGTGTGGGAATAGAGACTAATCTTACTTTTTGTATAAACATATTCAGTAGAAAAATACACAGTAGCTTTGCTGCAGGGACATAGACTTTTTAAAGATTGTGTTCTCATTATGATTTGGCATACAAGAGAAACTTTAGAAATTTGCTATTAACTTAAAAGAAAAACTTGCTTTACTGGCTGAGGCCAGAATAATCCCAGCTTCTCGCCCATTGATTTTCCTCTGTTTAGTATTTGTGGCGCTTGTTTCCAAGGAGTGCTCTGCAGGTCTATTACTGTCAGTGGAGTCTCTGCTAGACCAGATGAATGAGTAAGAAGAAGCTGTGTTGGAGCATCAGAGGTCCTTCTTTTACACACTTTGCCAGAAAAAGGAGATACAGACAGAGCAGTAAAACATTTTTCACAAAGAAATAAGTTGGATGTTGGATTCTTCGATGATTCTGCTAAATATGTAGAACTCCATCCAGGAGGTCCAGTTTGTAACTCTAACTACCCTTTGCTTATGATGTAACATAGGACATTGGTGAACGAACTAAAGCCATTCTTCTAATAGCTCTGTTGAGTAGCTACAGTTAGCATGCTCTCTACTCTTAGTTGATATCATTGCATGTCTTAAATGTTTTATTTAAAGGCCAAATTACCTCTGGGTCTTTTTGTTTGTTTGTTTTGTTTTCTTGAGAAAAGTTCAAATCTGTCTTTACCTCCGCACCCTGCGACAGAATCTAGAAACTACAAGAGACAGAGAATGAAATATTTTACTGATGATTTGTTTTAAGCTATTTTAAATGGGTTCTCTGTTCCTAATTGTAGAACCGTAATTTCTGAAAACAGATTTTAATGAACACATAAAGCATAATTTTCTGTTGCATTAAGTCAATTATTATGCTAAGTTTGCCGCTATTCCCTCATGATCGCTAAATGTTGCTTATGGAAAATGGCATAATTAGCAATACCAAAATTAAAAAATACCAAATCTTAGCAGCTCACTACATTATATACAGAGAGAGAGTGAAATTAAATTGTGTTTGGCTGAAGAATGTCCTGTTCTCATCGAGATATTTAGTTTCACTTTATGAACATTTCTATGTATCACTGTTTCCCTGGACTTTCTTTTTCAGATCCTTATTTCTCCTATTCTTTGATGTCTTCTTCTGTACAATATAGCAGTCTCTGAACTGAAGAGGACAGCTGCGCAAACAACTCATTTTCATTTGTGAGCGCACCACTGATATGAGTGACTGCCTGACATATTCCCATAACTTTCATGTAACTGTCAGGATTACAGTTGTCAGGGCAATGTGGTAATGCCACACGTTTCAAATGGTCACATTCTTGACATTGGTTCATAAGGTCACAGAGCAGCTGAAAATGGGACTGACTGTAGGTTGAGAATGGGGAACTTTAAACTTTCACCCATGAAACTAAAGTAGCGTCTGACATGACTAGCTCCTGAAGTGAGCGGTCTGAACATGACTGTTGATATCTGATCTGTTTGGGCCTCATAACTCCACAGTAAATGTCAATCTTACAGATTCATCTGACATATAGATATATTTTCATATCATAACACCAGGTCCTAGATCACCAGTCCTAAATAAAGCATGATTAACAACAAAATATGGTTCACTTTCCAATGCTATGCTAAAGGCTTACATTAGTAATCCAGTATAGTCGTCCTCTGCGTATAATGATAAAGACGAAGAACATGGTCATTCAATACAGTTTGCTTTTACAGTGACTCCAAGTGGAGCAAGTGGTCCACGGATGCTTAAAATAAGCGCAGGCTAGAAATTCCCAAGTTTGCTTAAAAATGAAAAACAAATCGACGACAGAGCTGGCTGGTGCCAGGATCTAGGTGCCCCCTGGTATCATGATTCAGTCTGCGTGGGCCGTCGGAGACAAGCACCGACACCTCACTGCATCTGCTTTTCCAGCCATGCATCATCAGTGTAATATGTAATCTGTTTTTATGGCAGTCAGTTTAGGGTTACAGCTATGTTATTGTCTGACTTGGTGTTTCAGAATCCTATTAATCATGACATTTTATGGATAGTTAAAGGGCTTTAACTTTTGGTCACACATAACTTCTTAAACTCTTTCTCTCCCTGCATCAAGTGTGAGCAGATTTAGAGATTTATTCTTGGAAGAGTTGAAAGACTTTTTCCACTCTTTTTATATATGAATTCACCAGTTTTCCTGTCCTCATGTTCTCCTTCTTCTCTTCTCTACAAACTCTCTCAGATTATCTCAGACCTGGAGTCATGGAACGAGGAATTGTCCCAGCAGATGAGTGACTTTGACACGGAGGACCTGACGCTGGCTGAGCAGAGGCTACAGCACCATGCAGACAAGGCGCTCACCATGAACAACCTCACCTTTGACGTCATTCACCAAGGACAAGAGCTGCTACAGTATGTCACAGAGGTGCAGGCGTCTGGTAAGTGAGATGAAAACAAAAGCACAAGCTGAAGAAGGGCTGCACGATGTTGGAAAATCTTTAAATTGTAATTTTGTTTTCTGCAGGAATACAGAAAATTATATAAATTACATGTAGTTTAATATGCATGTAACATTTTACAATTAATAAGTGTAGTTTTTTTTATTAGGGTACTTTAAGACTATTTTGTTAAAATAAAATGAACCACCCTTATTATTTACAACACTCTGCAGGGACTCTGTTGCACCAACAAGAAAAAAAAAAGCTCATCATCTTGTTCTGCATGTGACTCACACATCATCCCATTGTGCTGTGCGCTGCAGACGTTCTGCTAAAAGTTGTGCACATTAGTTCTGTTAGTGGTCAACATATGTTGCTATAGCGTTAACCAGCACTGTGCCAAAGTGTCAAAAGCCACCCTGTGTAACTGAACACCTTCCTCAAGCATCCAGCTGACTTCATGTGTTTACAGAAGCAGGGTAGTGTGAATGTTTACAGTCAGATGACAATCATGCACAGCAGCTACTTCTGTGTGTGTTTTGATGAAGAGCTTCGATAGACTGTCATCATAGATCAGTCATGGAAAAGGACTTGTAATCGTGATCTTCTTGCATTAGTTAAAACAATCAGTGTTATTTTTTCTTTTTAGTGTTTTTGCATATCCTGTGTTGTTGCTATTGCATACGCACACATCAGAGTAGTAGTTTTACTAGCACAGATAAAATCTACTGTACACATTAAAAGGGTGCAGCACTCACATTTGTCAATCAACAGAATGATGTTAACTTGACATGTAATTGTAAGGATTTTGCTTCTAGGGGTAAAGAAAATAGGAGATACTGAGTGAGGAGTAAGATGGCGTGCCTGTTGGTTTATCTGAGAGCGTTTGAAAGAGAGAATGGTGGATGCAGGAGAGGTCAGGAGTGAGTGAGCGGGAACAACATTGGAATAAAAGGAAAAGTAGGGTGAAGGGAAAGAGGAGGAGGGAATGGGAGACACATCTGTTTATACCAAGCAGATTTTGCCTCTTAATCCGCAAGAGTCATGTTCACTGTTGGGTTAAACCACTGAAACACACACACACACACACACACACACACACACACACACACACACACACACACACACACACAAACACACAAACACACTCACAGAAGGGCATATTTTGAGAAAACCACGCCTCCGGTATTGTTTTAATGTTTCACCACAGAGATTGTCACAGTACAAATCCAACTGAAGTCATGTTAAAATGTGCAGTGAGACAGCTACTCTGCTACAACTAGCTGCTTGGCTTTTTGAATGGCACGAGATATGCTACCACCTCCACCGACGTCTATGTCAGGACTATTATTTTTACCAGGGTCAGCCTTGTGGCTAGCATCGCATCAGGCACACAATGCTGTTATGGAATACAGGGCTGAAATGTGAGTAAAGATTATGCTTATGCAAAAAAAAAATTCATAAAGGGTCTGTGCAGAAAATGCCTTCTACAAGATCAGCATTTCAATTTCTGCAAGGCTCCATGTTAGGAAAAATGTAATCTGTCCCCCCACAAAAAATGTAACAATTGTGAATTCTCGACCCATCCAGCTGTTTGCTAATCTATAAAATGCAGGTAACACAGAATGCATTTATGGAATACATATTTTATACTTCTGCTT